GGCGAATACCATCCGTCAGCGTCAGCTCTGATGGTAACAACAACTCAAGGGCTAAGTACAAGTTTTTCGCTTGAAGAAGACCTACTGAACGCTGACCGGAGCATTTATGATTTTCGATACAGCTGACAAAACTTGTTGCCGTCATGTTTTAAGGGGGAGTGCATTCCTCGTCCCCTCGGTTTGGGCCGCGTCGTGAAATTTGGCCGCAAAACGCGGCGTTGCTGCCGCCAGCTGCCGCCAGCTGGTCGGGTTTCGGGCTGATAAATGCAATGTCGTCGTCGCAGTGCCTTGGGGCTGACGGGCTGACCTTCCGGCCGGGCCGTGCGGGCCGTGTGGGCCGTGGCGGCGGCGCGTGGATGCACTGCTAGCACGCCCACGGCACCGCGAGGCGGCGCGAGGTCCACCCCATGCTCCGATAGCGGCAACAATCGCCAGACAAGTTCGGGGCCGACTGAGACGGACGGGCTCTTTTGACGCTGCTGCATCGTAGGAACTTCTAACTGCTTCAGAATGAGGAATCCATTGCGACGCTCATGCGTCTAACTCGATTCCGATTCAAGGAACATCGACATTGAGCTCAAAAAGGAAAGGTTGGAGTCGCTTCAACCTGCTCTGGCCTTGTGCCAGTGCAGTGCAAAAAGGGAGGGGGGCTGAGTGGCCGGCCCACCCCCCGGTGCCTGCATGGTGCCTGCATGGTGCCTGCATGGTGCCTGTTGATGCGGTCAGCGGCCGGAGCCGCCTTGGCGCGGCGTGCCTTGGCGAAGGAAGGTCGCCGCGTCTCTCCCGGGGGAGTGGGCAGACCAGAATCGGCGTCAGTTCATAAACAGCCGAAGGGCTGTCTTGCGCGTTATTCCGTGTTTCCCCGGAAAGGCTCGCTTCCTGTCTGCGTCCTCTCCGCCCCCATTGACCTTGTTGACGACGGCCCGCTTGAGTGCGGCGTTGACGCCCGTGTTCACATCCCGGCCACGTCCTGGCAGCGCGCCGGCAGTTCCTCCCGCGTAGGACGTCCGCGTCGCCTCGGCGTCGCCCGCCCGAAGGGGAGTGGCGGCGTCCTCGCGGCGCCCCGAATGCCAATCGCAATGTGAATCCCAACGTGAATCACGGGGCGTCGTCGCGCGGCTCGTCATTGCTATTCGCGTGGCGGTGCGCGGCCGGCGAGACCCTGCTGGCTGCTGACCGCTGTGCTCCGCGGACCCCACTGATAAGCACGGCGGCGTGCAAGTGTGTCACCAAGACCACGCCGACAGCGGCGGAGGCGGCGGCCTGGTCCTGGTCAAGTGCCCCGTCGTTAAGGTCGCGGTGGTGAATGGCTGGCCGGCGTGGCCGGCGTGGCGGTCCAGGTGCCGCATGCCAGGCCACCGATAGCGCTGCTGCACTGCAAGCGCTGCATTCTGCAGTGTGGGCTGCACCAGCCTAGTGCCCCCCCTCCCCCACGCCTGGTCCCGCCCCGGCCGGCCGATGAACTGGGGGACGCGATAAGGCGACAGTGGGTCACTTCACTTCCGTCTGTGCCGCCCTCGGGTACCTCCAGGCTGCCCATTAAAAAATGATGAAAAATGGATCTGAAGAGGCTGCTGGCCACTGCACTGGCCCGCGGTGCGTGGTGCGCGGCGCAGCACGCGCAAGTTTTATCTACCAATTTTTTCCCGCTGTTTTGTGTGCCGGGCGGCGGTCCGCGGCGGTCCGCCTCGCCTACGCGTTGGCCAGCAGCCCGACGCGAACGTGAAGCACCCGCCGTGCCGGCCACCGCGGCTAGCAGTGTCACTGTGCACACCACTGTAGGTCACGAGTTCGTCGCCGCGCCGTCTCAGTCTGAACAGCAGCGCACCGTCGTCCTGTCTCTCTCGCAATCGTGGAGCGTTCCAGACAGGCGCGAGAGAGACAGCGACGAAGCACACTGTTCGGAATGGTCAGACAACTGTCGGCCGCTGACTTGCGAGCGGCGCGGCCTGCAGGCTGACTGCACAGCGTTTGGCCGCGCCCGGCCGCGCCTGTAGGGAGGACGCCCCATTAGTGCGAGAGAGACCGCGACGAAATCGCTGTTCGGAATCTGTCGGCTGGCCGCTCACCTTGCGCGCCGACCACCGAGCATTCGCCGAGAACTTGGGGACGCGTACCGAGACGCGTACCGAGACGCGTACTCGCGTACACGCGTAAACTCGACGACGGGACGGGCCGGCCGCCCTGGACCACAGTCCCATTGCTCATTACGATGTGGGTCGCGGCGGGGCGCGGCGGGGCGGGGGGCGTGTGGGCTCCAGCGTCATACCAGCTGAATGCCTGCCCGATAGCCTTGCCTTGCCGCTGCTTGCCGTCTTGCCCGATGCAGCGAGAGCAGCAACAACAACGAATCGGCCGCCCGGCCCTGGGCCGCTGTGGCTGCCGCGCTGCCGCTCGCCGCGCTGCTGCACCGCTGCACAGTGGGCCAGAAGACCAGTGGGGGCGGCCAAGACTCTAGACGCGTTTTCAGCTCCAGAGTCGCTAAATGGGACGCGAACCGGACGTGTGACACCACCAATGGATTCCTCGTTCGGAGAGCAATCCATTGGTGGGATCACACGTTCGGTTCGAGGCCTGTTTAGCGACTCTGGAGCTCAAAACGCGTCGAGAGTTTTGGCCGCCTCCACCGGTCTTCTGGCCCACTGTGCGCTGCGCTGCCCCGCGGGGGGCGTGCGTAGAGAGTCTCAGGCGCGGCGCGGCGAGGCGTGGCTGGCGGCTGCAGCGGCTGCATCGGGCCAACGTCCAGCAGACGACGCGTGGCGCGCGGACAGGCGCTGCACTTTCCTCCCGCCACTTTGGCGACGACCTCGGTGCGGGGCCCTTCCACGACAGCGCGGGTCACCGCGGGGTCCAGGGCCTTGCAGGACGGTAGACGGGCTATTCCCAGCCTGCCATCTCGGCCCATCGGCCCACTGGTCGAACCGCGCTGCAGGCCGCCGACTGCAGTGGGGCGTAGGGAGCGTCGTGGGCGGCACCTCGGTGACGTCAGCGCGCGCTGACATTAGCCGCTTCGGCCAGAGCCTCCCGCGTTGTCGCCTCTCTCCCTGCGAGGCTCTAGAGGCGCGGCGCGCGGGGCGCCGCCATGGGCCTTGGCCTGCACGGCCAGCACGGCCTGCTCGACGAGCGGCGCGGTACTGTTCGACGCGGTGACGCACACGCCGCGCCGCGGCGGCGGGGCAGCGCCGAGGTCGGCCGAGGTCGGGCGGTTCGAGTTCGAATTGGTGAACTGGTAGCAGCACCCCGCGCACGTGGTTCGACGTCACAGCCTCCAACAGGCCTGGGCGGCCCGAGGCGAGGCGAGGCGAGGCGAGGCATGGCGCGTCACTAGATGATGTGATGTTAGAGCTCAACGAGTAACGAGCTGCTCCTCTCGGCCGACACGCCACCGCACGCCACCGCACGCCACACAGCCTAGCCGGCCTAGCCGCGCGGCCACGTGCTCGTAGAGGGCAACGCCCAGCCGGCCCAGCCGCAGGACTTCCCTGCTTAGCATACAGTCAAATCGCTCAGCGGCACCGTATTTTCTTTTTACTTGGTGTTTGCCTTTTTTTAGAGGGAAAGAAGTGGCAGTATTTGGCGGACGGTTTGTTTGCGCAGGCAATGCCGAGGCATTATCTTACCAACCACGCGGCCGAACGGAGGGACCGACCGACGGACAGACAGACAGACAGACAGACAGACAGACAGACAGACGCACAGAGTCGAACAGACAGACGGCAGCGCAACAGTAGCGAGTCCAGCAGTGCTGGACCACCACCGGCACTTATGCTCGGGAGCTGCGCAGCGCACCGCGCGCCCGCCCGCCGTCTCGGCTCTACAGACTGATTCCGAGAGTCGTTTCCGTCGCTCTGTCTCTGGGGCACTCACGCGGCGTCCCGTATGGGCACGACAGAGAGAGAACGACGAAAACGACTCTCGGACTCAGGCCGTTGGTATTCCGCGCATCCTCCGCGGTCCTCGTCGAGCCGCGGCCGGGAATGCTAATCCCTGGACGGGCCGCGATTGCGAACAGTGCTTACTCGCTCTGTCTCCCTCGCACTCATGGAGCGCTGCGTGGGGGTGCGAGAGAGCGCCAGGCGGCTGATTCCCAAACACCGCACCGTCTCTCTCGCCCCCCTGCGGGACGGCCCACGACAGAGACAGAGCGACGAAAGCGCCGTCCGGAGCGAGCCTGCAGTGTGCCTCGCCCCAGCCGGGAACCAATCACGGCGCGGCTGGCATGACTGCCGGCGATCGCTAGAGTCGCACGGGGCCCTCACACGGTACGGACCGGGCGGCGAGGCGAGCTCGGCCCAAGTCGGGGTTCCTGCTGCGGCTACAAGGCTGCGGCCAAGGCTGTGGCGCTGTGGCCCACTCAGCGGCAGCGACACGCGGTACCAATCCCCCGAAACCACAAAACGCGTCGCCGCGTCGCCGCGTCGCCACGCGGGACACAGACAGTCGCCATGCTAAGCACGCCCGCGTACAGTCACAGGGGAAACGACAGGAAAGGCGGGACCAGCGTCGCGCGTGGACTCGGGAAAAAAGTGGGATCGCAGTCGCAGAGTAATGGTGTTCCGATCCTAACAGAATGCCAATACGGGTCACTGTCAGTACACTGTCGCAGACTGAGCGATGGATGGCGCGTCAGTTCGAATGGCCCGATTGGCGGGACGACGCTCTCGAGTCCCGGCAGGGTTGCCACATGTCGGCAACTTGTCGAGACCAAAGTCCCGACAGTGGCTCGGGTTGGCAACCCTGCTGACGCTGGTGTATCGAAAGAATTTTCGCCTACTTGGTGGCAACATTGTGCGCGCCGGCAAGGGCAAGCCTAATAGGCTGTACGTCAATGTTAACCCAAACCAGTCACGTGTGTATTTTCTTCTGGGAGGTGAATGGGGGCGCGATCCCGTCGCGTTTTTGGCTCCGTCCAAACGGATAGGAAGGACATGACCTGACTCGCAGGGCTCGAACTTTCTGTTTCGGTCAGGTTGCTTTACGAATTGTCGTTCTGTTTGCAGAGCCGCGGAACATCCTCAACTCCATCTCGGGCCGCTTCCTGTCCGGGGAGCTGTCCTGCATCATCGGGCCGTCCGGCGCGGGCAAGACCACCCTCATGAACGTCCTCATCGGCTACCTGTGAGTGCGCGGACACAAAGGGCGCCGAAGGGCGTCGAGGCCGCGAGAGGTGGCGTACCTCGCAGGGGCTACTGCTCCACGACGGTGACTTGCGGAACGGCCGCCGTCGTGGACTCTAGCCCACTCTAGCCAGGCTGTTTACCGAACAATGCTTTCGTCGCTCTGTCTCTCTCGCACGCATGGGGCCTCCGGTTGAGGTGCGAGAGAGACAGAGCGGCGGCATCGCCGTGCTAAGAGCGGGTCACTGGCGGCGGCGGCGGCGCCAGCACGCCACGACGCCGACGTCGGGGTCCAGGCCATCCTGACGGCCGCTCCGCTTGGCTCCGCTTAGCTCAACTTCCTGAGGGAAAGTCCGCACCGCGTTATCGCTCGAAGCGACCCCTACACCGTAATCAGAAAAGGAACTGACGCGCCGCGGCGTCGCGGCCAAGCCTTGGCCAAGCGGGGAAGCTCACGGCCGCCATTTCGCACTGCGCTTTGTTTTCCAATTACCCTCGGCACTGGGGCGTGCTCGACGTGCTTGCTGACGGTGTCCTTGGCCTCCGCAGAAACTCGGGGCTGACGGGCACCATCCAGACCAACGGGCTGCCCCGCAACCTGCGCCTCTTCCACAAGCTCAGCTGCTACATCATGCAGGACGACCTGCTGCAGCCCAGGATCACCGCCCTCGAGGCCATGACCGTCGCCGCCGAGCTCAAGCTGGGCACCGAGGTGTCCAAGAGACAGAAGCAGCTCGCGGTGAGTATAGGCTGTTGGACGCGCGCTACCGACGGGGTTGACGTTGTTACTGACGGGGTCGTCTACCCGCAGGTGGACGAGATCATGGAAACGCTGGGGCTGACGCCGTGCAGGAACACCCGCACGGAAAGACTGTCCGGAGGGCAGAGGAAGCGGCTCGCGGTCGCGCTGGAGCTGGTCAACAACCCCCCGGTCATCTTCCTGGACGAGCCCACCACGTGAGTGCTTTCGGCGGCAGGCCACAGTGGTGGCGGCTTCCCCGCGCCGCCCTCAAGGTCAGCACAGGGATCACCCCGATGTGACAGAACGTTTTGGTTGCAGCGGCCTGGACATCGTGGCCATGAAGCACCTGGTGGAGGTGCTGCAGCTGCTGGCGCGCGGCGGCCGCACCGTGGTGGCCACCATCCACCAGCCATCCGCCTCGCTGTTCCAGCAGTTCGACCACGTGTACGTGCTGTGCGGCGGCAACTGCGTCTACCAGGGCGCCGCGCACCAGCTCGTCCCCTTCCTCGAGAGCAGCGACATGAACTGCCCCAAGCACTACAACCCCGCTGACTTCGGTGAGGATTCGCTTATTCCATTTTCTACTTTCCCCATGGCTGAATCTCAACGCTAAGCCTGTGTGTTGCCATTGCAGTGCTGGAGTGCTTAACGCCGGACAACGTCAAGACCATGACGGCCAACATCTCCAACGGCAAGCTCTGCAAGACCAGCAGCGAGCCCGCCAAGCACGTCTCGAGCTACCGTGAGTACAAGGCGACCCTGACGCGGGGTGCCCAGGGGTTTTCACTCCCGCGTGTTGTCACGCATCCCGCTGACCGTCGTCGTCTTCGTCGCCGTCGTGTTGCAGGCCAGGGAGGCTCGTCCAACAGCCTGATGGACGCGCACCACGCGCACGCCGCCGCCCTCACCGAGACCGAGTTCGCGACCACCTTCTGGACGCAGCTCATGGTGCTGTCCCGGAGGATGTTCGTGCAGAGCTGGCGCAACAAGATCGGGCTGGCCATCCAGATGATGCACGCCATCACCTCGGCCGTCTTCCTGGGCGGCATCTTCCTCAACGTCGGCGACAACGTCACCCGGCCCTTCGAGAACTTCAAGTTTTGCATCGGCGTCCTCGTGTACTTCATGTTCACCCACTTCATGGTCCCCATTCTATTGTGTAAGCTCCCCTTAACTTGTTTTAATTTTTCGTTTCTGTTTTTATTTTTGGTTTGAGTTTTGGTGGTATAAGTTGGTGCACAGTAAAAGTGCAACTGGTCGGCCGTTCGTTGAACCCGAGATGCACACATTTCCAGTCGAGTCTGCCAAATGAGCATTAACGATTCTTGGCAGACTGCGCGTAATGGGCCTTCTGCCTGGCCTTCTGCCTGGCCAGGCGCTTTGCACGCTTTGCATACGACAACGCTTTTCAATCCGCCTCCATTAAGTACTTGCGTTTAGCGCCTCGCGGCGTCACGGCGCATTTGCCAAGCAAACCCATTTTGTATTCTATTTTTTGATTCATCCTTTTATTTGTGAGAATAATGTGATTTCTTCTCGCTGCAGACCCGTCCGACCTGCTCATCATGAAGCGCGAGTTCTTCAACAGGTGGTACGGCCTCAAGTCGTACTACATCGCCCTGACCGTGTCAACGCTGCCCTACCAGGTGAGGATAACCGGTTGCCCCAATCAAGGCGAACCTCTCGACGCACGACGCTCGACGCCGGGCACTCTGCAATTACCGAAATTCGCATTCCCAGGGGTCGGGCCGTCAATGACGAGACACGGTTATGTTCGGATTTCGCATGTTTGCTTGCGGCTCAGACCAGTTTGGGCGGGTCCCGGCCACGTTTTCCGGCTTTACGCCTCAAACGGGACTCGAATCACGCTCAAGAGGCACCGCTGGGTGACCCTTGGGGAGTCTAGAGGCTGTCGAGTGCTTCATTTGAGTCCTGATGAGGACAGTGGGGGCAAGGTTTTTACCTAGTTACAGGTGCAAAGTGAGGCCTTTTGCCTGCCTTTTAGGCGGCTATCTTGGGGTGTCAACTGATACGTCAATTGCCCTTCCCGCTCTCCCACCTGGATCCGCACCTGAATGAGGTCTGCACAGGGGGAAGCAAAACCAGTCTCAAACTCTGTCGACCCTTGCGCCGCGGCCCGCGCACTGGCTTGACGTGGCTTGGCCAGGCTCGGCCAGCCTCGCAGGCACGTCCGCCCCTGCCGCGCCACCTCACGCGCAGTGCGCGCAGTGCACGCGGGTCAGGGTTGCCCTTGTTTGCCACAATAACAACACCTCGCTGTGTCGCGCTGTCGCAGTGGCTGTGCGGCGTGGTCTTCGCCACCATCTGCTACCTGCTGTCCGGCCAGCCCATGGTGTGGAGTCGCTACGCCTGGTTCCTGGGCACGAGCCTCGTCACCGGCATGTGCTCCGAGGGCTACGGCCTCGTCCTCGGCACCCTCTTCAGCGTCACGGTGAGTCTGCTGGCCGAGTCCCAATTTCGTCGCTCGGCCTCTCTCGCACTCATGGAGCGTCCCGCAGGCACCCGCAAGAGGGCGAGAGAGACACAGCGACGAAACCACACTGTTCGGAGTCAGACTACGGATGTGGTTCGCGAAGGCTTTTGTTTTGATCGGTGGACTCGTCTGTTTCAGAATGGCTCCACCATGGGCACGTTCTCGCTGGCGCCCATGCTGGTCCTGGCCGTGTACGGCATGGGCTACGGCAAGGAGGTGGAGCCCGTCTACGCCTACCTCATGCAGCTCAGCTACCTCCGCTTCGGCCTCGTGGGCATCGCGCTGTCGCTGTACTCCAACGACCGGCCGCCCATGCACTGCGACGAGAACAAGGTGCCCTACTGCCACTACAGCAACCCCAAGCTCCTGCTCAGGTGAGTGTCTCAACCTAACCTTTGCTGCAGCCAGCTTATCCTAAACTAGCAACCTTTTCTAAAGCCGCCGAACCTTGCTGCCTTTCCAGGGACCTGGGCATGGAGGGGCTCAGCAACCACGTGCAGATCCTCAACCTGCTGGTGTACCTGGTACTGTTCCGCGCGACGGCCTACCTGGCGCTGCGGTACCGCCTCACGGTGGGGCTGTCCGACCGGCTGCGCAACTACGTCCGAAAGATCCTGCGCCACAAGTAGAGCCACGCGCCAATTCTCATACTGTACATAACGAAACGTACCTGAAACGCCGCAGCGCGCCGGGTGAGCGGGCGACGGCCCGGCCTCGGCCCGGGCGCCGCGCGTCAAGAGATTCAGCGAAACGACGACGAGAACGTCCTGGAGTTCGAATCGAGTCCACAAACTACTCTGGAGTTGGAGGAGGGGGCGCGTTGTGCACTCCTGTGCGAGTGCTCCTGCACATTGGAAGCATTTGCACTCTTTCATGCAAATTTTCACAGGAATGTGCACGAAAGTAATCATACATATAGTGTTCGCGCAACAGCTGCTACGCAAGAGCTTCTACGCAAGTGTTTCTGTGCACAGCAGAAGCGCGTTTCCTTGTCTTCATGTCACTTCTCTGGCCTCTGGAATGCCTTCTTGAATGCCTTCTTTCTGGACCGACCAGTGCACTGCAGTGTGTCTGTGTGCACACATGTGCGCGTGGTGGTATCGGTGCTGGTGGCGAAGAACTGGACGGACTTCTTGCCCATCCCGCCCGGACGACTTGTGATATGTTATTGCCGACGAATAACCCTGCACGATAAGTATTTATTTCCCCTTGTTTTGATGACCCGTTGGTGAGAGAGTTCTTCCTCCCGCTCTGTGTGTCGACTACGCTAAAATTCTCTCTGAGTGCCTGTAAGTGAATCCATGTCATGTGTGTATGCGTGTGTGTTTGTGTGTGTGTGGTAATGTGTGTCTATAATTATCAGAACGAATGAGATCGTCAGAATAAGTGGAAGCCATAATTGTCATATTTTAAGTTTGTGTGATACCATCTGTGATTAAGTGTAATGCAAAGAGCAAATCCATGCTGCCCGGTGATGTTTCTCGCATGATTATTCAATTGTAAAAATTAAAATGTAAAAAAAATACAAGCATTTGCTCAGCGAAGAAATGAACCGTGTCGGGTGCCCGAGAGGAGACAGGGTGTAAAGAAAAGTAATGAGGTCGCCTCATGTAAATATAGTTAATATGATGTCCTGCTCAATCTAGCCTCGTAGACTTCAAATAGTTGTAATTTATGAATAAATTCAAGTTTTTCTTCATTGATTTACTTTTATTAAATCTTCCATTCATTATATCCACTATTCCTTCATCCCACTGATTTATGCATCTATCCGTTCATCTTTCTGTTCATGTACTCATTCATTTTCTACTCGCGCAGTCATTTTCCATTCATTCATTTATTCAGTCATCCACTCATTCATTCATCCATTTGTCCACTCGACCATTCTTTCATTTTGGAGCTTGAGCGCCTTGCACACTCAGCCCACGCCGCTCAAATGCCCGATGGGTTGCCTACCTCCCCGATGCTGCCCGACAGCTCTCCTCGCTGGCCAACTGGCTGCCGGTTGGGTGGCCTGACCGCGAGGCGCAGGAACGCCCGGTCGGGGAACGTGCTCCCGACGAACGACGCCCGCATCGGAATATTGTTCCAGCTAGATTTTCATCGACAGTGGCCGGCCAGTTTCGGACTTGCACAAGAGCAGGGAGGATTCTGTAGAATTCTCTGAACAAGTTCGTCAAAAATAAAAACTTCTTCTAAAGCGTTTGATTTTGAAGCGCATAGCTTAAGGGTGTATATTTTCGTCGGTAAAATGGACACATTGAATCTTAGGAAGTGCAGACCACTCTGCCACTTACTCGTGGATGCGAGAGAGACAGACCGACGGGGCACCGCTACCGTGCCGAATACTCGCCCTGCTGGCCCTGCAGCCTACAGTGGGCTAGGTCGGCGCCCCACGCGGCCCCACGCCCCCCGGCTGGGCTGCCGGCGCGGCACGTGGCGCGGCGCAGTGCAAGGGAGGGGCGTGGGGCGGCGTGGCGCCGCGCGGGGCGTCCCTGCCGACCGTCCGTGCAGCGGCAAGGCGAGCACGGCGAGCACGCAGTCGCGGACGGACCGCCGCGGCATCGGCAGGCCAGTGCGCTCGTCCGCGTCCCCGCGAGTGACCGCCGCGTCTCGCCGCGTCTCGCTGCCCGTCGAGGCCTCCGCCGCGGCCGACACGCCCCGCCCCGCCCGCTCGGTGCGCGGAGCATGTGCTGGAGAAAGTGATCCCGGTGCGTTAGCGCTGCGTTAGCGCCACCGGCGGCCCCGCGCCATGGCGCCCTACTGGTCACCGGGCTCCGCCGCCCCGGGTGCCGCGGGTCGCGCGCGCCGCGCCTCCTCGGCGGGGTCCTCGTCCGGCGTCACCGCGGCGCTGCTGGGCCGCAAGACGTCCTCGGCGGGCGAGGCGTACCACCGCGTCGTCACGGGCACCTCCTCGTCGACGCGCAACCCGCTTTACGGCATGCACGGTGCGATGCACGGCCTCGGCCTCGCCGACAGTGTGGCGGGCTCGGCCTCGGACGACACCTCCGCGTCGTCGGCCTCGGCCTCGCGGCACTACGTCGACCCCTGGGACCTGGAGAACTTCATGTACCTGAAGCGGCACTGGGCGGCCGAGGACGCGGAGGGCGAGTCGTCGTCGACGCCGGCCCTGGAGACGGCCGCCCAGTCCGACTTCTACTACGTGGGCCCCGGCCTCAACGGCGAGGTGGAGCTGGACGTGGTGGACATTCCCGCGTACCGGCCCGACTCGGTGCTGCTGGCCGACGAGCCGCTCAGCCTGTCCGTGGCGCACGGCGGCCACGCGCTGCTCAACGCCGTGGAGGAGGAGAGCTTCTTCAACGAGCGCTACGACCCCTCTCGCCACCACCGCCTGGACCGGCTGGTGCGGCGCAGCCACTCGGCCGCGGCCACCTACCTGCACCAGCACCGCGAGGAGCCGCGCGCCGCCAGCGCCGCGGCCGCCGCCAACATGGTGGCCGTCTCCGCGGTCGGCGCCCCCATGCAGCGCGGCGCCCACGCCGCCTACAGCGGCCGCCGCCGCAGCGTGGCCTGCGCGCCGCGCTACTACCGCACGCCCATCACCGGCGGGGGTGAGTTCCTAGCTCCAAGTTCCACGGGGCCGCGATCCATCGCAGCGGGAGACTTGAACGCACACGCACTCCGGCCCATAAAACCTCGCAGAACCTTCAACGGCCGATCGCAGCGACGAAACCTTTCCGCTCGAACGCACCATGCCGCCGAATCCCTGTCGCTCGATTGGATTCTTAATTGAAAGCATCCCTTTCCCCCGCCGCCTCGCCCTCGCTGCGTCCGTTTTCACTCCGACGACTCCGGCCGCAGTCTTGTCGTTGACGGACTGGATGTCTGGTGGGGCTGGCCCTCGGCCTGGCCGCGGCGGAGCGGGCTCGGTCACCTGGTCTAGTCGGTCGGGTTGTCACCGCGCTGCCGCCACTCCGTCGCTCTGTCTCTCTCGCAGCCCTGGCGGTACGACGTCCCTCGAGTGCGAGAGAGACAGAGCGACGCAGCCACTCTTCAGAATCGGTCCGCTGAAACCGGAAGTGAACGTCGCGCCACTGCTTTCCTCCGCCCTTCGCGACCATCGACCATTGCAGTGCGGCGGGGCGGCGATCGGCGTGAATCGCGCCGTGGGCGTGGCGTGGCGCGGCGTGGCGCGGCGTGGCGGTGGGGGCGTCGCGTCCAGCGCGCCAAAAGACGCGTTAGTCCCGCCAGCCAACTGCTTCCCCCCCCCCCCCACCCCTCTGTCTACCCTCGGGGCAACAGCCCAGCAATAGCAATAGAAGTAATGGCAGGCCTCGCGCCGCTGTGAGACAGTGCCGTGTGTGTTTCCGGCCTGGAGAAAGGACTGCCGACTGCAGAGAGAGACACAGAGGCCGCCAGCGGTCTCATTCCGAACACTGCTTCGTCGCTCTGTCTCTCTCGCACCCCTCCGGGCCGCCCCATGGGTGCGACAGAGACAGAGCGACGGAACGACTCTTTGGGAACGGGGCGGCGCCGTTCCGCGTTTTGATTGGTGCTTGAGGATCATTGATCTGGGCTGTAAGCCGCAATGCCTCGCAGCCTCGCACGCTGCAGCCACACACTCAGCCACTCCAGGGCAGGTTTCACTCCTTACTCGGACGACATGACAACGGCCGGAGCAGAGCAGAGAGCACGGCGGTAAGAAAGGTTAAGTCAAATCGACCGTTAATTTGGTTGATTTTCTAGGCAAACAACTTTTTCATTGAGAGGGTATACCCTTCATCGCCAAAGGAACTAAAACTAATATTTTTGTCGATTTGGCTTTACTTTTTTATAAAACACTGCGCGTCCGAACACGTTTGGACATTGCATTCCTTTCATCGCGCTTTTGGTTTTTGTTTTTTTCATTCGGTGAAATGGAAAGTGAGACACCGTTGCGTGGGCGCTACACACTTGGGTGCCCCCGAGAACCAATATAGCGGCGCAGCGATTCAGTAATCTCCGGAACTCGCCGAGAAAAAAAGAAAAGAAACGACTATTATGTATCAAAGCTCCCTCTAAAAGGGAAACGCCGCCGACTGCACTTCACCCCACTTCACTATTGACTAGGATCCGGTGTTTCTGCCATTATCTGCGGTCGCCGATGTGTATGAACATCGCTTTTTGGTCAAACCTGAGCCAACCCACCTCTGTATTCACTACCGGAAATGAAATGGCCCTAAGGAAACTGTTACGATATAGGGGATTCGAACGCGAGGCCTCGGATTTCGTGATCGGCAACTAGAGCTCCTCGACCACAGCGGTTCATACTGCTGCCGCCGTCGAAGGGCTGGCTCAGTGGGTGGGTGGTAGCAAGGGGCACGCAACTCAAGATAATCATTGCACCTCTAGTTGGTAATCAGTGAAATAATCAACATCATCCAATGAAAGGACAATCATACTTTCGGGGATTCAATCACTTTTGACCATTTTTGCGAGACCATTGCTCCCAAACTATCAGCGGTCAAAGCCTTCCCGACGCGGGGCATGAAAGAGTAGGGTCTTCAGAATAGTAAGGCGTCGAGGGAGGCCTTTGACCGCAACTAAATTGGATGCAGTGACCGCTCAAAGTCAGCAAAAACGGTGATTTTCTGACATTCATTTACTTTTTGACCATTTTGGCGAGACCACTGCTCCCAAACTATCAGCGGTCAAAGCCTTCCCGAGGCGGGGCATGAAAGAGTAGGGTCTTCAGAATAGTAAGGCGTCGAGGGAGGCCTTTGACCGCAACTAAATTGCATGCAGTGACCACTCAAAGTCAGCAAAAACGGTGATTTTCTGAAATTCATTCACTTTTTGACCATTTTTGCGAGACCACTGCTCCCAAACTATCAGCGGTCAAAGCCTTCCCGAGGCGGGGCATGAAAGAGTAAGGTCTTCAGAATAGTAAGGCGTCGAGGGAGGCCTTTGACCGCAACTAAATTGGATGCAGTGACCACTCAAAGTCAGCAAAAACGGTGATTTTCTGAAATTCATTCACTTTTTGACCATTTTTGCGAGACCACTGCTCCCAAACTATCAGCGGTCAAAGCCTTCCCGAGGCGGGGCATGAAAGAGTAGGGTCTTCAGAACAGTAAGGCGTCGAGGAAGGCCTATGACCGCAACTAAATTTGACGCAGTGGCTGCCCAAAGTCACCAATGTTGAATTTCCGACACTTTAACAGCTTTCCGAGGTCGGCGCTCAAATAATCCCCAATATTTCCCAATAATCAACATAATAACCTCTTATAATCAGTGATAAATAATAAAATAATCAAAAGAAATCACATGTAATCATACTCTGAATATACCAGTGTACATGAAAATCTTAGGTTGGTTGCCCCTTGGGTGCTAGTGGGTGCCCGTCGTGCTACTCAGACGAGTCTCCTGCTCGAGGCGTGGCGAGGCGAGGCTGCTTGCCGATTCCCCCGGCGTGTCTCGAGCGTTGTATTGTTGCTTGCACGCTCAAAGTGCGGACTGCGGCGCGTGAAGCTATGCGCGGCCAAGGGGGCCGAGAGACGAGACGTGTCTGGCACACTCACTGCGTTGCGGCCGGCGGCCGGGTTGCGCCTTAACAGCAGTCAACCACTGCCACTCCAGCAGGCCGATTCCGAAGACACTCGCTCTGTCTCTCTCGCACTCCCACGGGACTCCCCTGGAGTGCGACAGAGACAAAGAGACGGAACGCTGCTTTCAGGAGCAGCCATGCAGGAGGCCAGT